TGGGAATTTGGATTTTTGAGTAGTCTGGAGCTCCTAGACCAAAGTATGGATTTATTACCACTTTATCTACCCGATTTTTATACTGAAGATCTGATCCAAACAAAGGGTTGTAAATACAGGTATCTGCTTTCTCTAGGGCTATTTTACTCTTTACTTCTAGAGCACTATAGCCCATGTGTAGTGAGTTTTCTGTCTGACCCAATTCAGTAGCATATGCAGGATTTATGACATTAGTTTTTATTCTCTCAAGAGGAGAAGGTCAGAGTAAAGCTGGAGTAAATGAGACTGTGCATGTCGTTCATCTAACCACTTATCCAAGACTATTAACACCCTTGCTGTAAGTGTTGCAAAGTGAGTACTGGATTCACTACAAGTCTCATAATATCTTGTAAGCAGTAAAAAATTGGACATCCTGGAGTATAAGTATATTTAGTATTATCTTTGACAACTGCTGGAACAATAAATAATGCTTCTTCTCTGTCTATCTTCTCTCCATCCAGGGGAAATTTTTCCATTAGTGCCACTCGCTTTCCTCTGATTCCCTGGTTTGCAGGAGAAATTGGTTTGGTAGTTTCTACTACATAATCCAGAATGCCTTGTGTTATTTCACTGTTGCCTTGAAGTTTGGTTTCCAGCAAAACTTTCTTTCTCTTTTTTTTTCCTGTCCTTCAATGGAAACTTCATGCAATAAAATTTCATAGGACTTAGCTCTATATTCCCAGGAGTTGAGACCGGCAGTATTCTTTGGACGAATAACAGCAACATATGCATTTTCTGTTTTCTGGATTTCCCATTGCTTTATAAACCATACAGAAAGTTCCTTGGAAGAGTAAATGATATAACTCTGTTCCCTCCCTGGAGTCTGGAATGTTGTTTCTCTTCGTTCCCGCGAAGGTAACCCAGCGGTCTCACCCGAGCGGCGGACGGCGGTCTCCTGGCCGCTACATTCAACTCACACGGTAGGGCCGTCAGTTGGTGGACCCGGGGCCGTCACCATTTCTCATTCCTTCTTCCTTTCTCCCAGGCCCGGCCCGACTTCCTGTGGCTGGAAGCTCCTCGATCACCCCCAGAAGCCTCCCGCCGTGCCCCGAAAGTGCGGGGCTCTGGACACCAGCTCTTCATTGTCCTTCCCTCTCCTCAGCCTCCGTCACCCGTCAGCCTCTCCACAAACTCACATACATCTTTGTACTTTGATCTTATTTCCCCCCCACGGCCCTTTCCCATCTCTCTCTCCAATATGGATCCTATTCGTCTCCCATCTCACCTCTGCTTTCATGTACATATTATATGCATTTGTATACATATATGTATGCATACATATAATTTAATCTAGATTCTAAGTACGAGAGAAAGTGTAATAGTTTGTATTTTTCCCATATCCTCTCTTGTTTTCCTCTTCCCTCTCCCTTTAGGCCCCTGGTATAGTCCCCCTTCTGATTTCAAATCATATCTATCTATCTATCTATCTATCTATCTATCTATCTATCATCTATATATATGTATATACATATGACTTTCACGTCATACACGTGCGCCTTCCATCTCATTCTGATCTCTCTTTTTTTCCCTGCCCCATTCTCGTCCTCTTCTTTCTCAACACCATTAGTGTTGAAAATCATCGCACCGTGTTCATCCTAAGTGTACCCCAGCTCTTCTGCTTCCTAACCTTATTTGGGGTGAAATTGAAGTGTGTGGTGTACTTTTTACTGTACTTTAGTGGCAGCCTGGTCATTATTTCGGTTAACACTGCCTGTTTCCCCCTCTAAACAATAGTTGGTATCATAGGCCTGGATGAACACTAAACACCAAAAAGACTCATATAAGATTTTAAAATATGCAAAAAGACTGAGAGTAAATATAACTACTGAAGGATGCATCCATCCCAGCATACAACAAATCACAACAAAGAAATCCACTCAAATAGAAAACAAGATGGGATGGCGCCACCAAAAACTCAAAGTCCCTCACAAACTGGACCCACATGAGTTTGATGGGTCTTGTGCATACTGTCACCTTTGCTGCAAGTTCATATGAGCAAGTTTCCAGTAGCCTGGAGGACTGTGTTTCCTTATGTTCTGGCACCAATTCTGGCTCTTACAATCTTTCTGCTCCCCCCTTCCACAATGGTTCCTGAGCCCTGGGTGGGTGAGAGTTAATGTAGGAGTCCTATCCAAGCACACACACTTATGCAATCTCTTATTCTCTACATTTTGGCCAGCTGTGGTCTTCTGTCTTCACCGCTCTCTGTTGCATGACGAAGCTTCACTGGTGAGAGTTGACAGATGTGTTAGTATGCTCTCTACCCCTCTGTTCCACTATGTTCCATGAGCCTAGATGTTCCATTGTAGATGTGGAACTTAAGGCTAAGCATCTCTCAGACACTTAGTCTCTGTGTGTGACCAGTTGTGGAAGTCTGTAATAATCTCTATCTGCTACAAAAAGAAGTTTCTTTGATGAGTGGTGACAGGTATAATTGTCTTTAAATATAAGGATACATATTTAGTGTACAGTAAGAAATTAGGTTTGTGTAGCAAACTCAGACAAGACCAGCAAAGAGATGTGGAAATGGGCAGGAGGCCCCAATCTTAGCTGAGAAACTATTGGCAGCTGATCAGCGCTGGATCTCTATCTGCTACAAAAAGAAGTTTCTTTGATGAGTGGTGACAGGTATAATTGTCTTTAAATATAAGGATACATATTTAGTGTACAGTAAGAAATTAGGTTTGTGTAGCAAACTCAGACAAGACCAGCAAAGAGATGTGGAAATGGGCAGGAGGCCCCAATCTTAGCTGAGAAACTATTGGCAGCTGATCAGCGCTGGATGAGGGAGAGTTGATCTTCTTTAAGGGAGTGATGCTAGATAGGCTGAACAGGCTCCAGTGGATAAACTCACACTGAGGAACTTCTGGGGACATAAACTTGACTTGATAGGCCTTAATACATATGAGAGAGTGCATGGGATCTGGTGGGATGGTAAAGTGGGGTGAAAATATGGGAGGACATCTAACTATGATTAAGGTATATTGTATGACATGTACAAAAATTCAGTAAAAATATGCACATTAAATGGTCAAGTTTTAGAGTATTTAAACTTGTTTTATAACTTGCTGAGT